CCCCAAAACCCCAAAACCCCACTGAAATAGGATTTTATCAAAATACATATAAATTTGTTTTTCTTCAATAAAAATTAATAAATATATTAACTAATATATTAACTTCTAATAGGGTATTTTAAATTTCAGATTTCAAGCTTAATCATAAATTATTCGAAGTTGAAAGCGTAGTAATCGAATTTTGATCAGACATGAATATTTATAATAGACTGTTGATGAATTTAATCATGGTTGATACCTCTGATTTAATCTTAGCATCCTTTAATATTACTGGCATTTTTAAGCAAGTATTGATCAGAAGTCTCATCTTTTGATTTGGCCATTTTATTTCTTTATCTTTTTTATTTTTCTTCATCTTAATAGACATTTTTTATGTTTTTTAGTTTCTAATAATTCTAAAGAGTGTTTCGTTTTTGCATCTTCTAGGCAAGGTCTTTTTGTTCTTCAATTTCATTTATTGCTTTTCTTCTTGCTAATTCGATTCTAATTTCATTGGGTGATGGAACATCTCTCGATGTCACCCATTTATGCTTTTTAATCTAGTCTAACATAATTCTTTTATCTGGATTAAATTCAAGCATTCTCTCGATTAGATCCTTGAAATCCTAGCTAAATGGTTGACCACCGTTTCTTGCGACAATACTTTTAAAGTATTTCCAGTATTATCCCGTCTATCCTTTCATGATTTATCTATAGCATTAGTCAGTTTGGTGAGCTATTCTGAACGGAAAAACACCAATTACCATGTTGAAAAGGATAACTCCTAAAGAGAAAATATCAACATTTTAACCCTTATATTTGAGTTTTAGATTTATCTCAGGAGCTTGATATGGCAATGTTCCTAGATGAGTTCTTAATAATCCGTCACCAGATCGACCTGCAAGTGGACCGGAAAATCCGAAATCACTGATTTTAACATCATAGTTTTCAGTTAGAAGAATATTGTCTGGCTTGAGATCTCGATGACAGACTCCTTGAGAATGAAGAAATTCCAAACCTTCGAGAATCTGTAGAAAGAGATATCGAGCTTCTCTCTCCAGAAAAGCACCACTATTTTTTATGTAATAATATAGCTCACCTCCTTTAGCTAATTCATTGACAATGACACACACAACATCATATTTAAAACCATCAGATTTTTCTACTACTTATTTAGTATAGTATTCAACTATGTTGACGATTCTCTTATGCTCTATTCTGGCGAGAAGTTTGGCTTCATTCTGAATAATGATGACCTTTTCTTGGTTAAGATCAGGATGATCGAGTTTATGAATCTTAATTGCAACTTCAGTTTGATCTATTTTATTGATAGCTAGCTTTACTTTACTCCAAGATCCTCTGCCAATAGTCTTGACAAGTTCATATTTTCCAAGTTTACTTTGCATGATAAATTAAAAAAGTTTTATTATATTTACTTCGAAGTTGGCAATTTAAATATAAGTTAATATATCAAATCATATATTCGAATTTCTATTATTTTGCTTTTTAAAATCTAATTTTGGAAGTTGGGGTTTTGGGGTTTTGGGG